CCTAAAAGGAAGAATTGCTATTCTAGAGTATCAGGACCACAGTCTCTATAGACATCAAGGTCAACTGACATAAATAGTTCAGAGACACAATGTTCTCCTCCTAACTTTGATGAATAGTGACTGAATGTGATGATTACTACTATGTATCAATATGGCCATAATCTTCAGTACAATGTAATTATTTTGTGTGTTATAAATTCTAACCTCTGTGATGTGAAAAATGGAGAATTACAAATAGATCTGTAAATATTAATCTTACTTGATTAGGAGCAGATAACTTTAGGGATGTAACCTGCATAGCATTTTTGTTTGCACTCTGGAAGAAAGCTAGACAGCTTTTTGTCATATGTGTATCTGGCTATATAGCTCACAGTCTCAGGCTAGAACCAGTGGCTTGTCATACTTGCCAACTTTGGACTCCTCAGTCTGTGACCGTGTTTTCCCACAAGGGGAAACCAAGCCTTTGGATACACAAGCCTCTGAAGAAAATAGCCAGCAGTCTCCAAAGCCAGGCATCTTCAACCTTGCTTCCCAACAACCCCTTGGATTTGTCAGACTCTGAAGCCAGTGAACTCCAAACCTAGCAGGCTGAGATCTTGCCTGCCTAGTGAGGACTTAAATGCTGCCTCCAAAATGCCTGTCTTTTGAGGTCTGATCTACAGACCTCAGATCTGTCTCTATAACTATGTGAGCCGTTTTATTAAAATCAATCAATCTCTCTCTCTCCTCTCTCTCTCTCTCTAACGCACACACACACACACTAAATTAATTGTTTTTATTTTCTAACAAACTCAATCTAAGAAACAGGGGTCCTAAAAGCTTGTGAGCAGCTACCAATGGTAAAAGTTTAGAATGTTTCTATCCAGAGAAAAGAAAAATGCATAGACAAAATTTGTCCAAAAGACTAATAAACAATGTAACTTTAATCCCCATCATATTGAGACCAGAAGAACTACACTGTACCTAGTTACCTCTGTTGCCTGCTCAAAAGGTGATCACGGGAGAAAGTTCTCAGCAGAGTGAGCTAAGAACCAAAACAAAATTCAAACATATAAAAACAGCCAGGCTTATTAGTCTGGTAAAGACTGATGGAATCTTAATAATCTTTTGACCCTGGAACAAAACATAGACCTGTGGCTCAACCCTTGGCCAAATGAAGGGCACGCTGTGAGGTAAAAACATCTGGGAGGTACCCCCACCCTAGAACAATCAATAAAATGAGATGATAAATACAGTATTTTCCCAGGGGGGAAAGCTAGGCAGACAGGTGGAGGTGACACCAAAGGCATTCACTGAAAGAATCATAGGGAGGAAGAAAAGGAGTGTGGGTAAAAAAGTGAGTGTTAAAAGGTATGTCATATATCTAGTTGGGTGGCATTTTTGGTTTTTGTAGGGTATATTCTCGGCAGTGCAAATGCTGGGTCAAACAGTATTTCTATTTCCAACTCTTTGAGAAAGCACCAGATTGCCCTCCATATTGGTTGCACCATTTTACACTCCCACCAACAGTGAATAAAGGTTTTAATTTCTCCATAAACAAATATATGCACATCCATGTTTATTGCTGTATTGTTCACAATGGCAAAGAGATGGAAGCAAGCAAAGTGTCCATCAACAAATGAATGGATAGAGAAGCTGTGGTATATTCATATAATGAAATATTATGCAGCACCGAAAAAGAAGAATCTCATAAAATATTATACAAAATGGGTGACCCTGGAAGACATTATGCTGAGTGAAATATCTCAGTCACAAAAGGGCAAATACTGCATAATGCTGCTTTTATAGAATAGGACTGAGATAGGTGTTGGGGGAAAAACAAAGAAAAGAGGCAATAAACAAAGCATACTGCATTGAAATAGATGAGGGAAAGAACTATCTAAAGGAAATAAATAAGTAGGTATTATTTGCATGACAATAGTCCGGAATAAGGGGTGCACAGAAAAGTGGACTGGGGGAGGGGGAAGGAGGAAATTGTACAACAATGAATGAATGGAAATCCAAGTTTTTCTGTAAACTTCTGTTTAAATATCAATTAAAAAAGAAAATATATTTATTTTTAAAAAAGTTATGTCATATAACCATGATAGTGTACACAGAAAACCCCAAAGACTCAACAAAAACTGTTAGAGCTAGTAAGCCAGTTTTTAGTAGAGTGGCAGGATACAAGATCAATATCCAAAAATCACTGGGATTCCTCTACAGTAACAAAGAGAACTCTGAGAAGGAAATAAAAAAAGGAATGCCATTTACAATAGCCAACCACAAACTGAGATACGTGAGAGTGAACCTAACTGGAGATACGTAAGACCCATACAAATAAAACTACAGAGCATGTCTGTGAGAGACCTCAATAGATGAAAAAAAAAAGTGTCTGTTCTCAATATTGTGAAAACGTTGATCCTACCAAAAGCAATCTACATGTTCAATGCAATCCTGATCCAGATACCAAATTCATTTTTCAAGAAGATTGAAAGGGAAATCATCAAGTTTATCTGGAGAGGCAAAAGATCCCAAATAAGCAAAACACTTCTGAGAAACAAAAATAAAGTAGGAGACATAACACTCCCTGACCTCAAAACCTCCTACACAGCAGTAATAACCAAAACAGCATGGTACTGGTGCAATGACAGGCACATAGACCAATGGAACAGAATTGAGAACCCAGAAACAGACCCACCTATCTATGGTTAACTGATATTCGACAAGGAAATCAAAGCTATCAAATGGAGAAATTACAATCTCTACAACAAATGGTGCTGGCAAAACTGGACTTCCACCTGTAGAAAGCTGAAACAGGATCTCACATCATAGACAAAATCAATTCAAAGTGGATCAGAGATCTGGGAGTAAAGCCCAAAACCATGAAGCTCATTAAAGACAAACTGGGATCAAGCATAGAAGGCCTAGTCTACGATATAAATAGACTGCCAAATATGGCCAGAAAAGCACAATCTGACGAGGATAAAAGTGATGAATGGGACCTACTAAAGATTAAATCCCTATACACATCAGAAACTTTTCCAACAGAGTGAAAAGAAAACCTACTTACTGGGAACAAATTTTTGGCAATACAATCTCAGACAAGAATTTCATAACAAAAGTTTACAGAACCCTGCTGGGCCTCCACAAGAAAAAGACTGATAATCCAACTACAAAATTGGCAAAGGACATGGAAAGACTTTTTCAAAGGAAGATATTCGAATGGCAAGCAGATGTATGAAGAAATGCTCCAAATCACTGATCATAAGAGAAATGCAAATCAAAGCAAGTAATAAACGTTGGAGACGATGTGGCAAGATAGGAACTCTTTTACACTGTTGGTGGGATTGTATAATGATACAGTTACTCTAGAAGGCAGTTTGGCACTTCCTCGAAAAGCTGAATACAGAAATTCCATATGACCTAGCTATTCCACTGCTTGAATATACCCTGAGAAAATGAGAACTGAGGCACAAATAGAGACTTTTACACCAATGTTTATAGCAGCATTATTCACCATCACAAGAACATGGAAACAGCCCAGATGTCCAAACACAATCAAATGGATTGAGAAATTATGATACATCCACACAATCGAATACTGTGCAGCACACAGGAGCAATGATTTTGTAAATTAGTACTTAACTTGGGAGGGACTGGAGAGCATTATGCTGAATGAACTCAGTCCCATAAGGACAGATACTGGAGAATGAGAATGAGGATCCAAGGTGGAAGGAGGGTGAAAGCAGAGGGGTGAGGCTGGGCTGGGTGGGGTGGTGAATCATAGTCATACAATCTGATGGGGGGGATAAAGGAAATGGAAAGATCCAGTGCAAAAAAAAATGTATTCAAACTTTGTAACTAAACCAGTACAAAAAAATTCATTAAAAAAAAATTAAAGAATTTTTCTTTTAATTTTCAAAGAGAAGAACAAACTGGGGGGCAGGGAGGACAGGGAGAAAAGTGCAACAATGAACGAATGGAAATCCAAAGTCTCTGTAAATTTTCATTAAAATTAGTAATAATAATAACAAAACAAAACATTCTAGCATACAAGATGGAAAATTAATTTACTCTGAAATTCTCACTCAAATCAGTTTACTTTTTTAAAAAAAGAACAAATTCATTATTTCAGGTGGATGTTATCATTTGGTTTTATACCTAAGGAAGCTGAAATTCACAAAAAATAAGTAACCTGAGTACAGTGAAGTCTGTGACCCTGTTGACATCCTAACAAGGTCTATGGGATTCCCAACTACTGTTTCCACTATGTGCACACCCTCACTAAAGCTAAGAACCAATAAAGATTACAATCACTTACAGGCTGAAACCTAGAGCTGCATCTCCCTCCTGTCACCCAGTGATCCAACTCCTACCATCAATCAACTAAGTGGTCAATGGTAAGAACTTTTCTGTCCTCTTTATGTTGTGTCTCATTCTTCACCTGCCTTAGGCTACCACCACATCAATCCATCAATCTTCACCGGATCGGGTAAGAAGGCAGAAAAGGCTAGGATGGGAGTTGGGATAGGTCTGGAGGACCATGAACTGTAAATGCTGTTGTGAAGGGAGAAACATAAAATGGCCTAATTAAAGTAGCACATATAAGTGCTTATCAAACATTTGTACTAAGAGACTGTGATAGGGAGATAAAATCTAAGCAAGAAATGAACTAAAGAACTTGGATTCTTTCTCTAACTACAATTCACATGTCCTGTGGGGAGTCTGTTCATCTACACAACTTTCCATTTCCTTAAGAACTGACTTCCCTCCCACTGCACTCTGGAGCAACCCCCTTGCTGACTTCCTGCTTCCTTCTCACGTCGTGTTGGTACACATGACCCAAATATCAAAGTAAATCTGTCCATACAACTTATAAAAATTTTAACGTGCAATTATCAACTGTGTTAAAACCTGGATCTCCTTAACAACTCCCAGGACTATCTTACCATCCCACCCCCTAGAATCAAATCTACTTTGGCATAAACCTTAAAATAAAATAATGAGGGGGGAAGTACCTCTTTGTTGGTGATTGGAATGGATAAAAAATAGTTGGGCTGATAATCTTTATATTTCTTCTTCTTCTTCTTCTTCTTCATTTGATCTTTCCTGTTCCACTCATTTTCTTCATCTGTCTTCGAATGTATTTGAGGTGCATCAGTGACTATAGGAAAAAGAGTCAAGCATTAGTACTCCTGATGCATTTAGACAAAGGAACTATAGTAATGAAAAAACAGGAAACAAGTAATGCATAAGTAGTTATCATTCTCAAGTGTCATCTAATCAAAGGCAGGAACTGACAAACTCTTCTGTGAAGAACCTGATAGTAAATATTGTGGACACTAGAGATTATACTCTTCGTCCCAACTAACTTTCCTTACAAAAGGTGGTCAGTCAAATTTTGATCATTCTTTCACCCAGACCAAAATTTTCATAAAACTAGGAGAGAAGTTTTTCAACTATCTTTTATATGTTTCTAAAATCAGGTGGGATAGACTCAAAAGTATATTTTGGTTCTCTCAGACTCCATTTGCTTCAACATCAATTTGAACTCCACATGAATAATTAATGATCTGTTTCACAGAGAGCCCTTGGCCTTGTTTTGACTGCAATATTGATTCTTTGCAAGATGCAGTCAGTCTGATTCCTGTGTAGTCTATCAAGAGAGGTCCATGTATACTGTCGCTGATTATATTTTATTAAAAAATGGTATCTGTCCAGAATGAAGGCTGCATAGTGGAGTGGCCTTGGGGGGAGAGATTGTATAACAATGAAAGAATTTTTCTTTTACTTTTCAAAGACAAGAGTGAATTGGGGAGGAAAGGGTGGGCAGTTAGAAAAGTGCAACAATGAATGAATGGAAATCCAAAGTCTGTAAACTTTCATTAAAATTAATTAAAAAATGGTATCTATAATTAATAATCAAGAGCAACAGTCTCTCTGGAGACTAAGGTCCGTCTGATACAGGCCATGGTCTTTGCAATCACTTGTTATGCATCAGAGAGTTGGACAATGTCTAGGGAGGACAGAAGGAGAGTGGATGCTTTTGAGCTGTGGTGCTGGAGAACAGTACTGAATGTACCATGGACTGCCAAGAAAACAAACAGATTCATCCTATAGAGGATTAAACCAAGCAACTCCCTGGAGGCAAAGATTTGGGGGCTTTGTCTGACATACTTTGGGCATGTTGCAAGGAGGGACAGGTCCTTGGAGAGGGACATCATGCTTGGGAGGGTGGAGGGATGGTGCAAGAGAGGAAGACCCTCTATGAGGTGGATTGATTCAGTGACTGGGGTAATCGGGATGGGTGTGTCAGAGGCAGTGTGATTCGCACAGGATAGAGCAGGGTTTAGGGCTGTTGTACATAACGTCACTATGAGTCGCAAACGACTCGATGGCACATAACAACAGCAACAACATAATTAATAAATTCTATCATTCAATCACCAGCTCCATTCATAATTTCTAATTACCAGCCCTCATTCTGCCAAAAGAATAAACAAAGCTCTCTTGGAGGAAGTGCATCCAGAGTGCTTCCTAGAAGCAAGGATGTTGAACCTTAGTCTCACATACACTGGACATACTGGGGAAGGGGGAACAGTCCTTGGAAAAAGACATCATGCTGGAAAGGTGCAGGGTCAAGAGAGAAATATCCCCGGCAAGATGGGCTGAGGCAGTGGCTGTAACAATGAACTCAAGCGTATCAGAGATTGGGAGGATGGAGCAGGATGGTCCAATATTTAAATCTGTTGTTCACGGGGTCACTATGTTGACTCAGTGGCACCTAACAACAACATCCTCTGTACATTCATCTGTCATTTCTAGAACACAGCCACTTGCAAGAGTACCATTCTCCCAAGAGTGGTTGATGGCCACTTTTATACGGCAAATCAATGCAAAACTTTGAGAGAATGTTTAGAGACATTCATAGCAACTTCTTGTTGTTGTGTCATCAAGTCAGAACCAACTCACAGCTCACCTTCCAGTGGGTTTTCAGAGGCAGTTAATCACATATGAGGAAACTGGTCATCCTTCTCCTGTGGAACAGCTGGTAGATTCAAACCACATGCCTTTGGGATTACAGCACAGCTTCTTACCACTAGCCCACCGGAGCTCCCTCTGATCTAGCTACCAGAGAGTCATTCTCTAGGCTGGAGTCAGAGGCTCCTTGTAGAGCTTTCTTTTTAAACGTGAAATTTTCTAATAAATCACTTTTCATTCACAAACCTATTATTTATTTGGCAACAAATATAAAATATTTCAAAACTAACACTCTGGTCTTTGCCTTGTACAGTTTGGGAAATACTTCAGAGTACTTTGAAAGTTATCATTAAAAGACTTGTTTACCAAGAATTCCAATTATAGAGCTATGGCTCCTTCAAAAAAAATAACAAGCTATATAATATATCACTGTCTCTCCTTTTCTTAACAGATTCTGTCAGAGAGCTACCAACTGAAAAAAAAAAAAAAAACCACACTAGTATTCACTGAATTCTCAATATGTTTTCTTGAAATGTAGTTTATGTTCAAAGAAAGCACATGACAGAGTGTTTCATAGAGACTTTCTAAAAATCCTAGTAATTTTTTTTTCTCTAAGATAAGATTCTGAGAAAGAAAAAGATGGGGTGGGAGGAAGCCCCACCTGTTCTGTGATCTTAGACAAGTCAAAAACTCTTTAACTCAGTCTCCTACTCCAAAGTACTGAAGAGCAAAGGTGTCTCCCTGGAGACTAAGGTGCGTCTGATAAGGTGCCATGGTCTTTGCAATCACTTGTTATGCGTCAGAGAGTTGGACAATGACTAGGGAAGATAGAAGGAGAATAGATGCCTTTGAGTTTTGGTGTTGGAGAGGAGTACTGAGGGTACCATGGACTGCTAAGAAAACAGATTCATCCTTCAGAGTGTTAAACCAGGCTCCTCCTTAGATGCAAGGATTCTGAGGCTCCATCTAACATACTTTGGACATGTTGTAAGGAGAGAAGGTCCTTGGAGAAGGACATCATGCTTGGGAGGGTGGAGGGCAGCCATAGGAGGGGAAGACCCTCTGTGAGGTGGATTGATTCGGTGACTGGGATAATCGGGATGAGTGTGTCAGAGACAATGAAATTGGCACAGGACAGAGCAGAGTTTAGGGCTGTTGTACATAGGGTCGCTGTGAGTCGCAAGCGACTCGACGGCACATAACAACAACAACCACCTACTCCAAAATAAGAAAACAATAGCTATTTCATAGTTATTTTTAAAATTAAATCAATAAATACATGAAAATACTTAGACTATTTCCTGGAGCAAAGCAAATACTATGATCATAATTGTTAGTTACCATTCAGAAATAAACATCATAAGAAAGACAAGATCCTCTAGCTACTGAAGATCACTTAGAGAAACCGAGATCATTTATTAAACTATTGTGATGTGAAGAGTTTAGTATTCAAAATGGCTTTCTTCATGCAATGATTCAAAATAAGTGACCCTCAAGGACATTATGCTGAGTGAGATATCTCGGTCACAAAAGGACAAAGACCGCATAGTGCCACTGCTGTAGAATGGGACTGACTCCAGGGTTGGGGTAAGACTGAGAAAACCTGGATAAATTATATATACTGCATGGAAATGGATGAGGGAGAGAACAGTTCAAAGCAATATATTACATGGCATTATGATTATCAATAGGAGTCCGGAATGAAGGTCACAGAGTGGAGTATACTTGGGGTGGGGATGGGGGGGTGCGGGGGAATTGTATAACAATGAAAGAATTTTTTTTTTTACTTTTCAAAGAGAAGAGTGAACTGGGGGAAGAGAGGTGGGCGGGGAGAAAAGTGCAACAATGAATGAATGGAAATCCAAAATCTCTCTAAATGTTCATTAAAATTAATTTAAAAAACTGGCTTTCTTAGCCACTGGCTTTCAATGCCAGTGGATGGATGGGAATATATAAATAGGGTGTGTTAGCCTATCCACAAGACGATTGGCTAGTTTCACCAAGCCACAAGCGGATTGGCTAGACTTGCTTTTAAACTGAGTGCATTCAGCAGCAGCAGCAGAACCTCACCACCATGTGAGATTTGCTCTGTAAACATCTACTCAAATCATGTAAGACGTAAGAAAAATGTGAGTATTCATTAGGTATTATATGACATTTCTAGTTACATTTTGTATGCTATTTTGAATATTTTAGAAAGATTTCCTATCAATCTTCATAATTTTTTTTAAGCAAACGGTCATTACAAAGACAGAAGAGGAAGAAAAGACCAAAACGGATGTCAGAAGAGACTCTGAAGATTGCACTGGAGCGTAGAGAAGCCAAAGCACAAGGAAGAAGTCAAGATACTAAAGAGCTGAACAGAAGATTCCAAA